TTTTTATTTATTTATTTATTTTTATGCATACTAGATTGTATGCTTCTTATAGAACTATTTTTGTATAGAACTTAACTTGATTCAATTAATCAAGAACCTATGATATCAAAGGTAGCGGATACATGTTCTTGATGGTGATTTTGTTGAATCCTTGATAATTAATACACATCTACAATGATCTATTTTTTTCTTCACAAATAAAATTAGAGCTCTTATTAGAGATTTGTAATAGCACATAAAATTCTTGGCCAAATTCTCTTTAATATATTCCTTAAATTCAACCAACTTATTTTGTGATAAATTATAGATTGGTCCAAATAGCGGTTTAGTTCTTTCTTGAAGGTCAATTGAATAATCAAAAGGACAATGTTTCAAAAGAGTATCCACATTTTTTTTTTTCAAATACATCTTGAAAATCTTAATATTGGCTTGGAATAGGACTTGAAATCTTTTCACCATTAGAAACAAGTGCAACATAAATGACACAAGATAATCCATCTTTTGCAACATACAAGAAAGTTCTTGTACCTACAAATACAAGTTCAGTTGCACTAGATTTATAACTTTTTGTTTGATTAATTACACTCATAATTATACTTTTAAAAAATTCTAGACTATAAGAAATCTAATATATTTCAAGGTTATATTTTTTTAACCATAACAAATTAAAAATGATTGGATTAAAAAGAAATTTAGTAATATTAAATATTACAAAGCTACTATGATCAATAATTATTATTTCTAAAGGAAAGATTTTATGAATGACATTTATTGAAGATAATAAATGACTATCTATGACTTCTACATACACATGTTTAATTTTCTTCACTAAAGATAAATTATGTCTTTTAGTAAATTCATCAGCTATAAAATATATTGAGGCTCCTGAGTCTAACAAGGCAAAGGCTTTGTGATGTTTAGGTCCTAAAATAATAATTATTATAAAATAAAGAAAAGTTTCTAAGGAAAGAATAAGACCTTTATTAGGTATTGTATAAGGTTCTATTATATGGTCTTTATTGTAGTTAGACAAAATTATTTTTTAATATATTATCTTCTTTTGTATTGACTTGAATATATGTTGTTTTTCAACATGTATTCAAGTCATACTCTTCATTTTATAGTTGTATTGTTTCTTTGGAGAAGATTGAGTAATGTGCTTAAGTTCTCCATAATAGAAGCATAATCCTTCTTAACAATCATAAGTCTATTCTTGATCAATAAGAGATTTAAAATATATTGCATGAATTTGTATATCTTCTATTTTTGAATGTATATATTGAAGAGACATTGATATTGCTATTGAATTATAGTAGCATTGAAGCATACTTGTGCAACTCTTAGATCAAAATTCAAAAAGTCAATTGTCACACTTTACAACAAAATCAATTGTTTGACTCAATGATTGAAAATCAGATAAATTGACCATCAATTTTTTTACCTCAAATTATAATTTGTAGAAAAATTGGCTAAGTGTTGTATGATATTACTTACAAATTATCAAAATTATAAAGTATGTAACATTAATGATTGATTGATTTATCACAAAATACAGATCTTGTTGGTTGGAATACAAATTATATTATGTTCTTTATATATGGATCAAAAATTTGTTAAAAAAGCCTTAAGATTATGTAATATTGGATCTTTTCATTTTAAAAAAGATAAAAACAATAATAATGTTGAATTTGAAATAATTATACCAATGAATTTAACTTGCAATCTTAAATTTAGATAGCTCTGAAGTTGAAGTTTAATTACAAATTATACTTGATTGATATATCTTCAAAACTTAAAATTTAAGCCATCAAACTTCTTGGGAAATTAAATCCTTGATTCTCTAACATTGAAAAGGTGTTCTACCATAGGAGAAGAGATATAATTTGGTAGAAATATTGAAGCAGCTCCAATCATCTCTATATCTTAGTTCCTACTATTCTAATTGCTTCTTATAGTGGTAAATTGAATTGATGCATTGCAAGTATTAATTCCTTCAATTTCTCTTACATTTATACTATTGCACTCTTCATTTCAAGAAGCTTTGCCATGATAATACTTAAAAAGGAGAAGATGTCTAATATCACTCAAGACAAATCAAAAAAGAACTTGAGAACAAAGAAAATACTACAAATAATATCCATTTAGAAGAGGATAATTTATAATTTCTAATGAGCTTATGTCTCATGAAGAAAAAAAAATAATCCACTCTTAATCAAAAAAAGACAAAGCTCTAATATTATAAATGTTTTTTTATTAATTTATCAAGGGCAAAATTTCAATGAAAGCAAATTTTTAATGAAACTTTTTCAAAGAAGTATGACAAAATAGAAGTAAGAAAACATGTATATTGAAAGAAAACTAAAATGGCTATTATCAAAAGACAAAAAATTAAAGACGCTTAAATTTAGACTAAAACAAGAAAAAAATTGACAAGAGTGAAAAAAGCTTTATTCTTGCCTTTATATATACTATTTATCTAGGAGCTACGCGTTGACATTCTATAGGACCTCCAACATGTGTTGATTTTGTAAGCCACAAGTTTTAACTTGTAAGACATATTTTCTATGTATGTGCTACATAGTTAGTTTATTCCACAATCTATCTACATGTATGATATGTGACTAACTTGTAACAAAGTTTTTAATTTCAAAGTTAAATATAGATATGTATAAAGTCAAAATTGTATCTATAAGCTTTCTAAAAAATTACTTTGAAAGATATTACAAAATTAATCTATTTTTATTATTTCTATCTAATCATATAGGTAATTATTAAAGTAAGTATATATGTCCATGATGGTAAATCAATTTAGTTGCTAATTGATTACATCTTTTGAAGTCTATGAAGGTTCATATTAAGTTCCACATAAAATTTCTTGAATCTTATAAGAAAATGAATATCTTGGGAAGAAGATAAATTCCATTACTTTCTATAGAAATAAATAATAATCAAAAGTTTAAAATGAAAGAAGTCTTAGATTTAAGGTGGCATCAAAATATATTGAAATATCTTATTCATTGGCACAAATATGATATTAATGAATGGACATTGGAGTTAGTGAAGAATCTTATAAATTTAATAAAAAAAAGTTGATACTTTTCATCTACAATATCCATCAAAACAAAGATGAAGAATAATAAATCTTTCTTATAAAAGAAATAAGATCCAAGGAAGACAACGTCCTATTTTCTATCCTTGTTTGTAATTTTTGTATATTTATAATACTAAGAAGGTAAAAAATCAACATCCAATAGATTTAACTCAAGATCTATTACTTATTAATTTATTAAATGAGTCACTGTGATTGTTATAGACTTCAAGATAATATAATAGAAATGAAGTTCTTTAAGAACAATGTATTCTTCCTTAAATAGATGGCAAAATATAATACATTTGATATCATGACCTTAAAAGAGACTTCCAATATTTGATGATTTTATTGGAGATAGAAACAACTCTTCATAACATTTCAAATGTTTTATTTAAAATAAATTACAAAAGGCTCAATAATAATCAAGTAATATGGTAGTCATCTTACTCTTGTATGTGGACACTATCAATGGTTGAAAAGACCTATCAATCACTTTCAAAGGGAACAAAGATCAAATATGTGGCAAATACAATTTGCTTTATTTTGGACTTCTTCAATATATAATGACCACTTTTTATGGAACTCATTTCTAAAAGGAAAATAATATCACAAACATATTTACTTAGATTACAAGTGCTAAGTAGATAATAAATGTATGTAGAGTTGATATTATCTTATGACAAAACTTCTTAAAAGCTTTATAGATTCATATTTGATTTTATACATATTAATAATTGATTGATAGATTAAAAACTTAGTCAATAAGTTAGCTATATATTACATGTGTGGATAGCTTTTGGTATAAATTAATGATGTGACGTGCATATAGGAAACTTGCATTGCAAATTAAGACATTTGTCTTGCACATTAAACACATGTTGGAAGTCCTATAGAACATTGTCATGTAGTTCATAATTAGATAGTATGTATGGAGGCAAGAGTAAAGCCTTCTTTACTCTTATCAATATCTTTTGAGTTCGTAATCTTGTTTCAAGACTTTATAGTCTTTTTGAATGAAAAAATAATTTATTGATTGTTTAGCTCTTTGAACTTCATATCTATAACAATAGGACAAATAAAAGAATGTTTGGTATTAAAAAGATATGTTATTTAGCAACATAATTAAATTCACATATAAATTTAACATTCCTTCATTACAATGCAAAAACTTGACATTGCTTGGTTATTGCTTCTCAATCATAAAAAGAAGTATTAGCTTCAAATAATAAATTCACAAAATAATATTCTAAATTACAAATCAGATCTTCTAAATTTTATTTTAATTAATATGAAAAGGTTGTACAAAATCTAGAGTTGAAAAGGAATTCAACAAAAATTTCTTTTTTACTCCTCATTAGCAAAAGAAAAAGAAAAAAGATTTGATGCTGAAAATTTCAATAATATTCTAGCTCCATCAATCCACCAAACCATGTACACTTATCATCCAAGTCAAATTAATGTCATTCCTCAAATTATTCATTTGTCAACCAGGCTTTTCAACTTTCTATTTCAGCTAAAAGAAACCCAATGATCAATCAAATCAAATTATCAAAAGACTATAAATACACACACAACTTTACCACACTACAACAGAACCACACTATTTCCCAGCATTCACATCCAATAAAGTAACGTGGCAAGGTCAAACCCGCCTGAAAAAGCAAACGAAAACGAAAAACGCAAACAAACCGCAAATTAAGACCTAAAAAGTAAAAGGCAATTTATTGGGGGGGGGGGGGGGGGCACATGTAAAGGTGGTCGAGATCAACGCCGGCCCAGAATGTTGACTACCTCAAAT